TGCGCAATGCATACAATATGTGCAGGGAATTGTAACTGTAAGATCGATATAATAAAACTCGCAAAGTCTAGATAACAATAATTTCTAAGTTTCAATTTTTAATTATTTGTAATATTATTTACCGAAAACTAACGACAGAACCTAGCTATGCTGTGCACGTTTCTGTAAATTCTCTCGTTTTTGACGAACCAGATTCACGGTAGATTTTCCGCGGGGAAAATTGCGAGTTAATTTCCCGTGTGATCGCCTCCGGTCCCTAACATCGGCTCGTTGTCATTGTCAATTATTTTTAATTGTGTGCCGATTGGAGCCCCGAGCTTTGCGCGATGTGCATTAAAATGCGCCTGGGTATAAAATTGAAACTCGCGAGAGATCGTGGTCGTGTACACTGTACTTCCATCGATTCGATATAATGTGATTTTCAACAAATAATTTTTATTTCTCCCCCTTTTCCCTTTTATTCATTGCTCGTAATTCCTCCCTCCAATTTATTGAGAGCGTGATTTTGCGCGGGAGTCGTCAATGATAAACGAGTTCGTGCTTGAAATCATTGCGAAGGGAAAAGGGGGGGAGATGGTAGGCGAGATGGGAAGGGGAGGAAGAGGGAACGGATTGGAAAAGGAGGAGAGGCGACCGGCAGGTGCGTGGCTGTTCAATATTCATTGACAAGAGGCGTCGAAATGATTTTAAGTGCCTGCAGAAATTGCCGCGGCACCGGCGTTTTCTGATAATCTGCATTATTTCGATCGCTTTGATCGCCGCTGCTTTAATAATATGTAGATTTATGTTTTCATCCGGACAGCGGCGGCGGCGCGTCACTTCTCCCCCTCCGACGCAGTTCGACAGCATGTGAAAATTATTATTGAATTATTTATTACATTCTAAGTATCGGCGCGATATACCTTCTTCGTTCATTAAAGTTTAAAAAAAATGATGCTATTAATTGTAAATTTTAAACACTATTAAATGTCAACTTTAATGCTGCAATTATTCTCGACAAAATATAATTAAATGGTGGAGAATTATTTCTGACATTTTATGGTACTAGGAATATATTATCGTACTATATCTTATAGGAATTCTGTAGTAATACTAAAATGAGAATAGAATAAGCAACATCTTTATTAAGGAAATTTAATCATTGAAAGAGAATATCAATAATGAAATAAGTTATTTGTGGACTATATATTTTAGTGGTGATTTTATTTGTGAGATAACATGTTTGCGGATTCTAGACGATATTTATTATGATTATTCCATAAGAAACAAAAATAGTAAATTGGAGAACTAAATTGAATAAGACCACCGCTCAAATAAATAACAAAAAAGATATACTTGATTGTTAAATCAAAAAATCGATATTAGGTGGTTCTTACATTAATCATAGAATTGGATGTTTTCCAAAAAGTTACTTTGTTCAGTAAAACACTATTCGTTAATGCATTTTCCATTTCTAATATTTCATGTATATGTTGCAAGATATCATCCAAAATCACCTAAAATTGTATTGCGTTTCTTGAAGCAGTTAACGTATTGTTAAAACGAGGAAATCAAGTTATATCAATTTAACAATCGATTGCACTTTTAATTAATTTTACCGTGCAATGAAAAAATAGAAAAGTCCTCGAAGATTTATGAGCTTGTCAGCTGTTTGCAGAGTTAATATTGAGAACAAAAAAAAAATAGATAATTGTAACGTTATAAATCTTCATATTGAAATGGAATAAATCAAATAGACTCTGTAAATCAAATGTACTGTAATAAAATTCTACTCGATCAATATTGGGTCATGGAAATATTTTCGAAAGTATTTCAAACTTTCGAAACTGAACTTTAACAGATTTCTTGTCAGCTGATAATGCTACAAAAATGTAATATTATTTGGAGTTATAAAAGTTAAATATAGAGCATTAAAATGTATTATTTAAAGATAATCAATATAATGTGATAAAGTTCTAAGAGAATTATCTTGAAAATCAAACTGTCCATATCATTGATATTTTTTTTTAGAAAAGTATCCGTTTTATGTTTTTATTTTTATTAGTTGATACATTTTATTATTTATTTCATTTATTATTTATTTTTATCATTATTTACTTCATTTATCATTATTTACTTTATTTATTATTTATTTTTATCAATCATTTTTATTATTTATTATTTACTTCATTTATTATTTATTTTTATCAATCATTTTTATCAATCATTTTTATCAATCATTTTTATCATTTTGGTCTAAATACAATTTGGACATTAAATGTATAACGTCAATGAAAATATATATTTTTTTAGAGATTGATTCAAGAACATTGCGATAGTTCGGCTCGATAAAAGCGGAAGAAGCTATATCGCGAATTGCGTCGAGGATTCTCTCCAAAGATGTTCGATTACCGATCTGAAAAATCCGCGGCGCGGAATAGTACTAAAGGCAAGAAAAAAAAAATGGTTGCTGGGAGATTACTACTCGTTCGACTGCATCCAAGCGCATACGCTCGCATACATCCTCTTTTCTGCTCCTAAGCCCCCTCCTCTTTAGATTCCCCTTTTTAATAAATGATCTTTCTCTCTCCTCGCCGCGCCGACCGACCTCGGAGATGGGAATCGCGTTGTCATCGAGCTTATCGCGATTATCGCAGCGTGCGGTGCATCGTAGAAGTGCATGCATGCACATCGTGCGCAGCATCGCGGAGCATCGTAGAAGGGAAAAGGAAAGCTGATAAAAGGAGAATCGCGCATCGTCGATTCTATTCGCGCGACGAACGCGCGGCTACAAGGTTAAATGAGATAGCATCGCAGGATTAATTATGCGTAATGCATGGGACGTGCGCGAGGATGCATTTGTTCGAACGGAGAGCGGAAGGGAATAAGCAACGCATTCAATTATCGTCGTTACTCCGGGACTTTACAGATGTTTCGGTGATAATCGCATTGCTAGGCGACTTCCACATTCGTCGTAAGGCTCGAATGCCGGCGGCATTCAAGCGGGAGAGAAAGAGCGAGATGGGGGAGCCGGGAGAAAAGAGTATAAAGGGAGAAAGGAGACGGGGGCGGGAGGAGGGAGCACTTAATTAGATTCGTCGGAAAAATTAACGCGACCCACTCGAAACGAATTGGCAAGGCTCCAAATGCCCGCGTCGCGCCGCTGCTCTTCCGCAGTCGCGGATAAATGCCGCTGCGATCCGGCCGATGCGATGCAATCTGCGGAGTGGTCCGTCGTGATACACGCGGCAGTGGTCACGGCTCGATAAACTTCCTCTCTCTCGGCTATAATCGAGATGGTACGAGCTTCATTCTAGGATCTCCGAGCATTTTCGACGAATTTTTCAGGAAAAGTTGCGATTTGAAATTTAAAATGTATTGAGGGATTGCCAAGACTCTCCTTTCACAATGCTTGTACGATTGATGGATGCATTCTTTTCCGGAAAACAGAATTTTGCGGTGCAAAACAAGAAAATATTTCGATTTATATTGAAACATGAAAGGAGAATTCATTATTGATATTATAATATTAATGTAATATTTATATTAACTATAATAGTAATATAATATTGATATTAATATATTTGTTTTAATATTTATATTTCTATTTAGATATTAATTATATTTATATTTATATTAACACAACATGTGCTAATAATTTAATTAATTTTCTCAAATATTAATTTATATAATTTTCTTTCGAATTTGGTATTTTTTAAATGTATATATAAATTCTTTTTTTCTCTTTTGAAAAACTTCTAAATATTTTTAATTTTTAATTGCATTTTGCAAATTTAATACGGGATATTTCCAAGCTTTTGAGATATATTGTGGGGAAGAAACTCTTTAACTTTTTTTTTAAATATTTCCTTTTTGTTGTCGCCATTACTCGTCTTGTTAATTCTAATCAATCGTAGTCATACAGATTCTTCTCAATCTATGACTTATTGCATTGAGCGAAATACTTTAGCAATTGAACAAGCATTTATTGTTAGATCTCGCGGAAGTTTTTCACATTTTTATTCGTGCCTCTTTTATCGAGAAATTAGTTTCAATCATGTCGGTACTTTCTTTGACTTGACATGTTCATTCTTTTTTGTCGCACAAATTTCATATTGCGCTTTTTTATTTTTTGGCAATAAACTAATAGATCGATGGCACGCATGCGCGATGTTGCGGGAAAAATCGAGCGAGCATCGTCGGTAAATACTATAAATCAGCTTAATCCGCGTCGAGCGAAACGAAGGGGGTTGGGGTGTGTGTGCACGTTCGCGTGAATGTGGGTTAACGAAGGCGAAAAAGAAAAACAATTTCGGCGTCAGCGTTTCGGAATTTGCAGACCGCACGAACACAATGCGATGCCATCGAATAAAAACAGCGTGCGTGGCAACGGGGCGGAACAAGACGAATTATAGGATGGTGATTCTAAAAATCACAAGGCGCTCGTCATGCGTTTAAAAAGTAGCATAAAGTATAACACACACACACACATTAATCGAACAAAATTATTTCGATGCAACTAATCAGAAGAATATAACCAATTACTTGATAAAAAAAATAAAAATAGACATTTATTGTAAAGGAAAATCATAATACCAGTTTCAAGTCTTATATTAATGCTAACACAGCAAGCATATATACTTGTTTTATATATACATGCTTCATTTATATTACAATCTATTTCTTTTATCTATTTACGACGTTCACCGCATGCATCGCGAATTCGTTCTCGCTGGCCGCGAGCGTCGCGATTTCCATGTAATCGCGACTATAAGTCGGTATAAGTCGGCGTCTCGGGCGCGAGAGAAAAAATAGGAGCGGTCCCCCCCGGCAAAGTGCAAGATTTAAGTAAACGCAATAACACATAACGCGGCGTCGGATCCCCGTGCATCGAACGCATGCGTGCGTTCTCGGAAATCGCGATGCACTTGGGGATGAGCGCGTAGCTCGCGCGACATGCGAGCACATCGGGAGCGGTTCGCTGATGCACGGCACGTGATCGTTCCTTTTTCTGCTTTCAGGCGTAGTCGGAGCTCGGAACCTCACGATGGAGTGCCGCAAGGGTCGACGGAAAGAAGCGCCGATCCTCGTCGGGCTGCTGCTTGCATGGCTCTTAACCAACGGCTGCGCCGTCGTCGCGCGAAATATAGGTGAGTACGAGGAGGTATTTACGATTTTGGACCGCGGTTTCATGCCACGAGTAAATCCCCTTTCTCTCTCTCTCTCTCTCTCTCTCTCTTTCTCCATTCCCCTTCTCGCAGAACTTCGCGCCAATTAAGGGGCCGGCTACAACGTGCGCGGATATTTACGCGTGACGTATCCGGTGCAACCTCGAGTCGCGAAGGCGCGACTCGCCGCAAGCAGAAGCCAGTTTTGCATCTCGGCACCTTTCGCGTGTTCTCTTTAACCTCGCAGCGAGCGCGCCTTGAATTGTCACGTCGATGCTGCAATTGGTGCGCATTCGTTGCCGCAAAAATTATGCCGGCTGTCAAGTCGGCTTTTGTTTAAGAAACTTAATGGCAGACGAGATTTTTTTAAAAAGGTTTTCTTTGTTTCTTAGTGAAACGTCAGTATATATCATGAGGCATTAATGAAATGATAATAAATTAAATGGTATAAAATTAAGAAAGGATATAAAGAGAGATTTTAATTCGTTTTCAAATAAAATTTAACGCAACTTTAACGAAGACGATACATTATGTTCACTTATAAATTTTAAACGATACAAAAATCTCTTTGAAAAGATTAATAACGACGGAAGCGGAAGCGCGCGTGACGTGTATATGCAGGGGGCGGAAGATCGTTGTTGCCGTAAACCCCAGAAAACCCCGCTAGATGGATGGGATGGTTTCGGCCGGCATGTTAAGTCCAGGAACATACCGTAGCACGCTCGTAGAATTAAACCGTTCTCGTGCTAATTGATTTAGGAGATCCCGTCAATGTGTGCGTATGTGTATATTGCTAACGTGGCACAGTTCTTGATAAAGTCTCAGCAACGAGCTACGAATTTGGCAAATATCTTCTTAATATCTTTCCGACATAAATCAGAAAAATATACATTTTATCTTGTTATTTCGAAAAGATTTTATATACAATGAAAGATATTTTTTGATGTTTTTATCTATATAATTATCTTTTATTGTGTGTTTTTAGCGTTAATATTTATATATAAAATTTGCGGTTTAAAATTTTGACAAATTATATTTACTAATAATATTTACAACGCATTTATTATACTTAATTAACTTTAATATAATAATTATCTAGTTTCTTGAGTAATAACAAACACTTTTTATATTTATTTATTATATTTAAATTTTACCATTTCCACGACATTTCTTAGCCTTATAACGCGACTCTAAACCGCCCGATTTACATTCATATATATGTTCTTATAACTTGAAGCACATCCGTATTTTTTGTCACTCTGTTGCCGCAATGCTTTCCCGAAGCTTGGCCGGAAAGAAATTCCGCTCGGGTGCTGACGGCGGCGCCTACAAATTTCTCCCGGGACCATTTCCGCGCTCGCATATTAGCTTGACTGCGCGCCCAGCTGCAATCTCCGACGTGTAATTGATCGCGGAAGTTGAAGAAAACCTGCATTGCCAGCTACGCCAGCCGGTGCAATCAGACGCGTTATTTTCTGTTCATAAATCCACCGCTTTTTGACAGAAAACGAAAACGAAAACGAAAAACAATGTTTGAGTGTCAGTGACATCATCTTTCTTATGACTATTTTCTCGGAAAGATATTAAATTGTCCTTTACAATATTTGAGCAAAAAATATTCGGTTAAAGAAAAATTTAAATAGAATCAGTTTTCAGACTTTTGTATGCTAATTTATGCCGATTCACTGGCTTATAGTGGTAATTTATTAAACGGCTTCCTAGTTTTAATTAAGACAGATGTAATATATCAGGTCTGTGAAAACAAAGGAAGACGGGGAAGCGAAGGAGAAGGGAAGGTAGAAAGGACGGGAGGGCTGGTCTAGCGCCCGATAGGGTTAAAATGCAGCGACGCATTGAATACACGCGAGATTTAACGAGCGGTTGAGTCTCGAGAAGCGATTTCAGGCCGACGTGTTCAGAAAGGGTCGAGGCTAAGACACTCAGGAATCAGGAGGAGGAACGACGAGAACCCCTGGAGGATTGGAGAGAGACGACGCGTGTCCTCGCTTATTCCTTTACAATTATCATACACCCGGGTGCCCTCAATCCACCCAGCCAACCCAGCTATTGTAGTGTTGCGTTTCCAATGTTCTGCTTCCAATCCCTTCTAGCTACGCATTCCCTTTCCGGTTATAAGCATACACATACGTACGCATACGAATGCTATGCATATGCATACGCATACTCGCACATGCAGACACATACGCGCGCGCGCGGAAGAACCGCAGTAACCTAACGACAGATAAATCAAAATCGTATTGTATGCTCGGTGCCGGCGAGGCTCAGACAGGGCTTTGTATGTTCTCAAAGGTGGATAGAGATTTAGGACGTCGTGTGGATTCGATTTCGCTTGCGACTGCGTTTCCGCGTAGAATTGCAAAGTAGCGATATACGAGTCAAGTAGAATTGGTGGCGCTCATTTTATGTCGAATCAGACTTTCGCGTTTGAAGAAAGCAATTGCGAAGAGACGATTGTGCGATACGCAGCAATATTTTTCATTATCATATTTATAATAAAACATTTTTCCTTTTATTATTATTTATATCTTTATTAAAATGTATATTTATATTTTTATTATTTTTACTATTATATTTTTAATAATTGAGGAAAAGATATTAATAGATATGTATGCACACGTAATTGTAGAGAATTTTTATTTTAATCAACATGTGTATTGATTATGTACATGATTAACAAAGGTGAACATAAAAGATAGAAATAAAACGATGATAAATTAATAAAGTTACATATAACGTAAAGTATTATTGTTGAAATCGTATTAATTTTATCACAGAATATATATATTGAAAATCTTATTCTATAAATGTAAGAATAAATAAGCTATTATATTACTATTTTATAATAAAATTGAATTGTTTAAAAAGAATTACATTTAGTATATTTTTAAAACCGTCCGGTTAAAGATTTTATTTTAGAATTAGTGTTAACGTCCCTGCGCCTTTGCCACATTCGCAATTTCTTTCTTCTACATTTTAACCAAGCGTACGCGCGTTCTTTCAGTTATTCAGCAATTAGTTTTTTATTATCCTGTCATAAAACCGAAAATGATTTTTCTTAGCGGGCGTATAAATATACCGGCGCTTCGAAAAATTACATAAAACCTTGATAGCTACCACTTTGTAATCTACCCTGATGACTGTCGTAAAACGTTAGTTAACGGCAGGCGGGATGATCTCAATCGGGCTGACCTGGCGAATAATGCGCGATAAAATTCGCAATGGCGGCTATCGGCATCGGAGCGGCGCCGAAAGACGTCGTTCACTCGTGGCTACTCCTTCGCAATTACTCGCGCCGCTAACATTTTTACGAAGGGCAGAATTTCCGGCTTTTACCGATCGAGAATAAAAGCAACACGATCCCGTGGCTTTTACTGCAGAACGCTCAGTCGTTAGACCCCCAATTGGATTATCACATGGAATCGTCGATCAAATTTTAATCGCTCGTACATGTTGCACGGTACGTTAGTTTTGTTTATAGAGTGTCTGGCATATATATAATATATGATAGAAAATGAGTGATTCGGTCTGCAAGAATAATATTTCTCTCTTTATGGCTAAAATCAGTTGGACATTCGAAATTATCCGTTTGATGTTTTCCGTAGAATTATTAATAATGATTATTGATCATAGTTACAAGCATATACGTCAACGTTAAAAATTCTCCACAAAATTATTCACAACCTGGCAATTCACTATTAAACTATCTGGGACACATATTATGAAAATCACATCTCTCGTTCCTTTCCTATCGTTAATTTCTGACGAGGATTTATGAGCGTGGTAAAGGGGAGGCGCCGTTGGAAAATTTACAGTCACCACTTACGCCGCGCCGGATTCTGAGCAATTAGTATTTAGATAGGTAATCCTATTATACACTGGGCACAATATCGAGGTAATAAGCATCGTGGACAGCGCATGATTACAGAGTGCCGCGTCCCCGAGGCGGACCGAGTTTCTCCTCGCGAGATAAGATTCCTCGAGGAAAAATTCTCACGCTTCTCCAGCAACCTTGATGGAGAAGCTAGCATCGTTCGATGATATGTTAGAAAATAGGAAAATCTAGAAGATGTTATACGTTCGAGATCACATTTAACAGATACAAGTTTGTAGTTTGTAGTTTGTTAGTTGATACAAGTCTGTTTTAGATTGTTTATTTCATTACACAAAGAGCGTCATATTTATTACTGACAGATATAATGTAAAAAATGAATAATTTGTTTTTCTTCCTTTTTTGTTTTAAATGATATTTTATTTATCCCTAGTTGCTTCAACAGTTGTTGCGGCTGTACACAACTAATCAAATGTAATTAAAATTTAATAATAATAATATTCATCGTTATGCAATTTTTTAAACTCCATAAAAATGGAGTTGACTGGAAAACCATAATAAAAATATGTATTTTTAATTTAAATAAATTTAACAAGAGCTGCACAAGACTAATATTGCAATTAAATATTAATGCAATATTAAAATGCACAGAGGAGAATTAAATACATGTTCCATTATCGAAATAAATTTGTTACAGTTTATTACATTTTATATGTGTATACATATAAAGTAGCATTATTGAATACACGTACTAATGACGTATTGATGAAATTAAAATCGAAGAAAACACAAATGTACTGCAAATGAGAGATTCAACAGTGAGTTGAGTCAATTATGGAGTAATTTTTAATTAAGTCAATATCTTTGAATTGAAACTACCATATCAGATAATAATTTTGAAGAATAGAGAAAACGATGTTATGTATTCAGAGATAGGACATTTGTCTCCAGCTAACAATCTACAACGCCTGTTCTAATTCTGGCGTACTGAAATATGAATGAAATATCGAGCGCGACGTTATTTTCACCGTTTCGTGACATACGACTTTGATTCCAGTCGCCTCGAAGAAGTGATAACGAAATTGGCACGAGGCATCCAGTCGCTGCGCGTGTAAAGTATCTTGGATACGTG